AAAAAAAATGATAAAAATGATGGATATATAAAAATATGCAAGTGAATCAACAATAAATTAAAATTGATTTGACGTGGTTAAGATATTATTAATATTATTAATTATTTAAATTGATAATATTACTGATAACGAGATTGAATTAGATTTTGAGTTAAAACGAGTTAAAAAGAAAAAAGTTGATCCAATTAAAAATGAAGAGAACACATAACATACACCATCTACATTTTGTAATAACTCATAGAGTCTCGCGTAACATAAACATATTTGTGCTCGTCTTTTGTCCTGATCAAGCTTGTCGAAGCTTGAAAGTTTGAAGTGTTTTAGCTTCTTTGATGTAGTTGTAACAACTAATTTTATGAAAAACATAAAACTTTTATACAACTTTATTTATTTCGATCAAACGATATCCGAGGACAATCTCTAGTTATCTTCTTTGATTCTTCTCTTCATGAATTTGAGTTTGAGATTTTGAAAGATGGATTTGACGATTGAATTTCCTTCATACTTAAGATTGAATTTCTCTAACATTAATTTGGGTGTCGAACGACTTATGCCCGTATTAAATGTGGCATTGACTTGATTGAAGAAGACTTCTTGGAGGACTTGTTCTTTGATCTTCTTGAAAAATAGATTTTGACTCGAACAACGTTGACTCGAGGGCTTGAGCTTTTTCCCGGATCAAACGTTGTGTTGGTTGAACTTTTCAACGAACGCGACTTGAATGTCGCTTGAACGTTGTTGATATTTTTGGATTGATTTGAGAGGAGTTGAAGTCGTCTCTTTACTTCTTGGGAAGAGTTGCCTCCTTTCTTCTTCTTGGCTTTCTTCTTCATTGAACGGACTTCAGGCGGTTCTTCAAGAACTTCTTCAAATCTTCAAGAGAGTGGTTCTTCAAGAACTTCTTTAAATCTTCAAGAGGGATTTTTGAGATGTTTTTGATATTTTGAGTTGTTTTTATTTATGAGATGTTGAGGAGAGCCCTATTTATATGTGTATGAAAGAAAGTTGGAGAAGAAGACTTTAATTTGATTGGTCCTTCATGATTTAATACAATCTCTTTCTTTATCCTAAGATTTGACTTGGTGGGCAAGAAATAATTACTTTATTAATTAAAAATCTTATTTAACTTAAATTTATGTCTCAAAATAAATAAAGATATTAATTAATAAAATATTAAAATTTTGATATCTACAGTAGCAATTGTATTTTTAGGAATTATAAGCTAGAACCCATCATCAACGCATTATTACTCTTATTCGTTTTGCGAAAGAGCAATTTTTTACTTTAGACTTTTTCGCTTTTCCTCATTCTGATCAAAGTATACAGTATGTAGTTCTTATTAGGGCTGAACATGGGACTCGAAAAATTTCGAACCGTTTTGAAAACCGAACAAAAGATCACTCTTAACTGAAAACTAATCCTTGACCATTTGACTTTCTCCGAACCGAACCGAATAAATAATTGGTACAGTTCTGGAGATTTCACAAATATCCGTACCATGAACCAAACTAAACCGTCCTATATCGCTACCGAATGGAAGAACCGAAATCGAGAACCGAATTATAACATTAGATGTGTGTTGTTAATGTCTTTTATGTCAACTTTGATCCTATATAATTTTAGACTTAAAATGTAAATAAAATATAGTAATAACAATTAAACTTTACTTAAATTCCATGCTTAGTTATACTTGATATACAATTGAATTTTTTCTGTTATAAAAAAGATATTTAAAATGGTGTGAAAGGTTAAAGAAATTTCTTTTAAGAAAATACTATATTATATTTTGTTAGAAATTTAAATTTTCAATATTAGTATACAAATTTAGTCTTAAATAAAATTTATGTTACTTCTAAAGTTGATTTCAAAATAAAATCTTTAATATGAGAAAGTATTGATGAATGTTAGTTTTTTTTTTAAAGCATATAAATATCAAATAACTAAAATTTAGAGTTACTTATTATTTTAAAAATAAATCTTCAATATGATGAAACTGATGTATGTTTTTTTTAAGCATATAAAATTTAAATATAACTAGGTAGTCATTAAAAGAAATTATAAAAATATAAAATTCCCGAAGATTCGTACCAAACCGTTCCGATAGTTTTAAATACCGAACCAAATCAAAAAATAAAATTCTCCAACTTAAATCGTACCGACACACGATCACTAGTTCTTATTCTATCCCTTATTCATTTTCTAACCACCACCACCACTAGATGTGGGGTGAGAAATTGTGAAAAGATGGAGAAGGAATCTCTTTTTGGTTTTTTCTGTTTTTTAGGATGGAGATAAGGAGGTTTGAGAGATGGGCTTTTCTACAGTCAGGTACCCTTGTACTTTGGCTTGTACTTACCTAACAACAGGTACCTTTTAAATGAACGCCATGTGTCCTTTTCTTAATAAATAAAAAAATAAATCGAAAAAAAGCTTAATGCAAATACGAAAATGCCCTTACTTAAAAGAAAAAAAACAAATTTACTTAAAAGGTGTTGAACTTTTGTAATATTAACATATGACCTAAACATAATTATATATCTCAAATAAACAAACAATTAATCCAATATTTCATTTCGAACGATCTTCTGCAAACAAGAAAACACTCACGAAGATATGATCGGAAAAAGACGTTTTAAGATTTGACATTTGAAGAATAACACGAAGGTACATAATTGCATTTTCTGATTCGATATTTGAAGAACAACAGTATGTGAATTTTTTTTCAATTTCTTCTTCTTTATTTCGATTACTGTCCAATCAAGCGGTAATGCACAT